CAATGTCTCTTATCTAGATTTGCAGAGGATTTGGCTTTATAAAATAAGCTCCAATTCACAAAGCTCTTTTCTGTTCCTCTTGCTTCTGCTCTTATTGAGCAAATCCAGGATTTTGCCTGAGTTCCTCCTCTTTGGCTCCTGGACCTGACCACATGCCCAGTCTGAGCTCTCAGACTATGTTATACTGTGACACGGCACCCGCATGTTTCTCCTGCCTCAGGAAGTCTTGGCCTGCCTGACCTGCTGGCCACTTAGAGACTTCTTAAAGCTGGAGAGAAACAGCAGTGATTTGTCACAGTGCTGGGACAACACCCACCCCCCCACACCAGAGAATACCTCTGTGCTGCTGCTCCTTGTCTCTTCTCATCATGGATCATGACATGCAGAGTCATCTCCCCGCTCTGTTCTATTGCAAGCAAATCCCATATCATCCCATAAACTCTGTCTGTGAGATCATCTATGAAATATTTATTCCCCTTGCATGCAAGTAAAAAGGAAGCAAATAGCCTGTATACTATTGATGGAATCCCTGATAGACAAATATTGAATTATTTACAGCCTAATTGTGCAAGTGATACTCATGAGATCACTTAGGCTGCAAAACGCAATTAATACAATTCACAAAATTGGTGATTTCTACTTCAGACTTTGTTTTGATGCATCGGTGAGTTGCTAAAATACACGTAAGATCACTTTGCAGGAGAAGAACTAGAATATCCACAGACACATGGAATGCCCACAAAGCTTTCTCAGAGTGATGCTATACAATAGAATGGTTTGGGTTGGAAGGACCTTGAAGACCAAAGCTCCAATGCCCCTGCCATGGGTAGGGACACCTCCCACTAGACCAGGTCGCTCAAATCCCCTTCCAACCTGGCCTTGAACACTGCCAGGGATGGGGCAGCCACAGCTTCTCTGAACAGCCTGCTCCAGTGCCTCAGCACCCTCACAGTAATATCTAATGTAAATCCACCCTCTTTTCAGTTTCAAGCCATTCCTCCTTGTCCTGTCACTAGCTGCCTGAAGAGACACGTCTGGAGCCATTTCAGATGCTCAAGTGAATCCTACCTGGCTGCTAGCTGGTGTTCCAGAAGGGCACAGATCTCCCGTAGGTCTTGCGTTACAACTGAAACTCCCAGACAAATGCCCTGGATACCCCAAGGCATCTCAGATGGCATTAAATACATATATGCAAGACAAGGAATTGAACTCATGTGACCACTGGCCACAGCAGACCTCCCAGCACGGGAAGCAGTGACCAGGAACTACAACATTCCCTGTGCTGCAGCATCCTGTGTCTCCTTGTTACTGCAATACCTGCTGTGTAGCTATAACACAGTACTTCATACGTGTACTAATGGACCTCCTTTCTGCCCAACCTACAGCAGGTGGAGTAGATTAGCCACTGAACCAACAGAACTCCGATTTCCAGACACAGAGCTTTTTTTGTCCAGTCCCAAGTACACAGATTGATGTGGCAGTTGTCACAGGGACTTGTCTATTTCTCTAATGCCAGACATCTCTTGAACCTTCCCTCTTACTAGTTAATACATACCTGAACCCTGACACCTAAAGTAGTTCACAAGTTGCATCTCTTAAAACAGTTATATTCTGTATTCCTCATTATACTGTACTGCTGCCAGAGCTTTGGGGGTATCGCCTCCTTCCCAAGCATTTCAGCAGTATTTAGTGACCATTCCTTGAAATCACTGGAGCTCTAGGCACTCTGCTTTGACTTTAGGATGGCAACAAGCACAAAAAAAAAAAATAAAAAAGGGAAAAGCCTGAGCCAGTTTTACAATGCTGTCCTCACTGGGCTGAATAACGCCCATTTCCTCTCAAGACGAGACACATCGTGTATGTCTAAAACCCTCAGCCTATCCCAATTTACAAATTCTAGTACAGCTGTAGCTACAAAGAGCCAGCCAAAATTAATTATGACAGATTAAGGAACAAAGCAATATACTGCAATGGCCTCATGTTAAACTGAAACATCTGATCTAAACCAAGCAATTTCAGCCCCTCCCTAAGCTCTTGCTTGTCTTGTTCACCATCTCTTGCATTTTTCTGCTGATTGGCATCATCTGAACATGATTTACTCAGATGTACCCAGGCTCCCATTGAGCAGCTTTGCCAGTGGCCTCCACTGAGACAGCCAAGAAAGCAGGTTTGTAGGGAGCCCACGTCCTGCAGGCCTGCACAGATGAGGTTTATTCCTTTGGTTTTATTATTATCAGGCTTTTGTTCCATTTAGAATTGGCAGGCAGAGAGGGACAATTAAAGCCTCTGCTTATGACAGAGGAAAACGTATTTATTTCAGCCAGGTACTTTTCCTTCTCTTCCTTCCCACCCCCTTTTCCCTAAATGTGAGACAAAGGTAGAGAGACAGTTTACTTGCACAATATACACCATACATCTCGAAAGCTGATAAGAAAACAAGCTGGTGTCTGTGTTACATGCAGAAGTACCTGAGGGAGGAAACGTCAATATGATTTACCTGAAGGCACTGGTAGAGCTGGGAGGAGAACCCAGATTGGGAAGGTGGTTATACCTTTACAAAGCCAAAATTTGTGTGGCTTTTTTTTTTTTTTAATTATTTTTATTACAAATATTATTCATAGTTTAAACTTAAAAAAGGAGGCTGTTTGGTTATCAAATACATGAAAATCTGTCAGGTTTTACCCCTCTTTTAATTTTGTTTGAAAGTGTGTATTGAAAGCAAGGTACGGGTATGGCCAGCTCTACCTTCTAAACTCCTGTTTAGTAGAAGAGGAATAAGATTGCTCTGAGACAAGCAAATGCAGAGTTACCCAGGGGCTGAAAATATTAGGTCACTTGGACCATCAGCTCTTTGGAAAATGAGTGCCAAGTGCTGCCTTACAGGATCCTTCACCAAACTGTTTCTGACAAGAAGAAGGAAGTTCCTATCCACTGGATGCTCCACAGGAGAAAATAAGCCATCCACCAGCATGGTTGGTGCTTTCTGTAGTGTAAGTATCACCAACTGGTGGGTGTCTAACAACCCAGGTCTAGGTGCTGTATACAGCAGGGAAGGTGCTCTCGGTTTCCTAACAGCCCTGAATATGACCAGCTGAGTTACATGGCAGTAGGCTTTGTATACCTCACTATTTTGAGCACCCTAGACTTGTTAGAGGTGTGATCCCTGTTGGAAAACACTCTTTGCTATAAACACATTGATGAACATAGATAAAAATGGTCAAACTTTCCCCATTTGCCTTTACTATCTATCCTTTTTGGTTGCTGGTCTGCTCCTTTCCACTCCTCCCCGTTATTCTGCAATAGCTGCTAGTTGCTGACAAAAGCTGAAGAAACAATTAAGATACTTCAGAAAAAGCAGATAATTTCTCACATGCCATGATGAGTACCCAGCAGATGTGACTCAAGATACACACATTCTGTTTTCAGGCAAGTATTCTCAAGGGTTTAGATTAAAATAATAAGGATGAGCAGTTTCAGTAGAAGTCAGGTTATTTTTAGGTGGAAGGTCTCTGGGGGGGGGGGTATTAACATGCCATCATCTTGTGTGGCGGATCCCATAAAATTTTTGTGTGTAATTAAAGAAATTAAGCCAGTAATCAGTCTAGACAGGGATTCAGGTAGGAAAGTGGTAATGGCAGCTACAGCAAATTAGGTTGGTTGCGAATATCAGACACCTTCTGATTTACTAGATGGTTTCAAGGCAGAACAAATAAGATGCCTACAGGGAGCTCTTTACCCAGAGAAGATTGTAGCAAGTCCCAAGAGCCAGGATTTGACCCTAATGGTTTTGGTCATCACAGTTCAGCCAACAAGGAAATGATACACTGGGAGAAATGCTGTGATGGTCTGCAGCCAGATCTCAGTTGACACAGGGTGTTGCAACTTTACTGAAGCATTTGGCCCACATCCAATGTAGGAGTCCATGGAAGATGTTTCTTTCTGCTGTCCCCCTCCTTAATCCATCCCCATCATCTGTCATCACATGAAAGGGGATGGGAGGCAGCGGAGCCAGCATTACAGTAAGCGGCTTGCTGAGCCAGCTGCAGACATTTGCCATCTTCTGGTCATGATGAAGACTGGACAATTAGGAAAATGTTTTCATTAGCCTCACTCACCTGAAAAATAATCAGCAGCCAACTCCCATTTCAAAAGGCCACCTGGCAAAGAGTCAAGAAACAAAAACAAGTGGTGAACAGGTTGCAAAGACAAACAATAAATAACCAAGTCTGTGATGATCCACCATCTTGAACGGATCTTCAGTTTCCAACACCAGGGGTTTTTCACTCAGACACATGAATCTCAGGCATTCATACTTTGGCGATATTTTAAATCACACCCGTAAAGCATATCTAAACAAGATTTAAACTGATGAAAAGCAAGTTGTTGCTTTTAAAGGAGCTTGGTGACCCTGTGAATGGAGCCAATGGTTTCAGTCCAGCAGACAACAATCCATTAAATTAGAGAAAAATTTGCCACCACAATTCTTAGTGCCAGGAAAGGTGTGAAAGACAATGCGGCCCTTCCAGGATGTGCACAACCGTATTTCTGATGCCACAGATGGTAGCCTGAATGGCTGCAGGTTTTTTGCCTTGCCTTTTCATAGACCATAAAGATACTTAATCTTCACTGTTTTCAGGGAGACAATTTAGATATAGCAAGCTTATGAAGAGACACATCCCATTTGAATAATTTTCAAAACACCTCTTCCTTTCAAGTCACAAACTCTCAGCGAGAGGGAGAAGAAGAAATAAAGAAACATTGAGCCAAAGCCCATAAACAGATTTCTCTGTGTGTGCACGACGAGTCTAGGAAAAGCAAAACAATTCATCTACCCAAGAGTGGCTTTACAGGGAAAGGTTAAGGAATAATAAAGAGGGATTTAGATCGCACCACTTTACACACATTTATGAGGGAGCAATTCAACACCCAGATAACAAATTCAGTTCAGGTTTTGCTTCCTCTCTCCCTCCCCCTCAACCCCCCTTAGAGATGACATACCCTTCCATTTGTAAATTACTTTAATTTAAATAGTTCCAGGTTAGCAAAATGTCTTAACTTTGACATGCCCCAAATTACAAAACAGAAACAAAATCTCTTGACAAAGGGTAAGAAAAAAATATAATCCAAGCCCAAACCTCCTTTCCTAAGCTGGAGTTTACGGTCTGTGAGCTGGCTGCCCTCCAGAGTCTGACACAATGTCTGGAGCACACAGAGCAGCTGGAATTAATTTTCTTCCTCCAAATCTATGCACTTTCATATGAAGTCGTGTTTTGGCACTGCCGTCTAAAAGAGAGTTCAGTGCAAAAAATCTAACCCCGGCCGTGTTTCTTTGCAACCCAACACTTGCTGAGCAAACAGCAAAAAAGGAGAAGAGGATGAAAAAAAAATTAGAGAAAGAAAAGCCCTTTCCCTTCCCCCACACAGACACAGACAACTGTACCAAACAGGGGGGCTATTCATGGCTGTTCAGAAATGGGTCACAAGGAGAAATGTTTGCAGATAAAACCAACACTTCTTTTTCTATTTTTTTTCCTTCTTTTTTTTTTCCCCCTTTTTTTCTTTTTTTAAATAAACATCATGGAGGCCCCTGGAAGTCGCTGGGGATGTTCAAGAGTCAAGGTCCTGCTGATCCCTTCCGCCTCCCATTCGCACAGCTCCCACGCCAGCCCCGATGCACAGCCCCCTCTGCGGGGGCCCAGATCGCATCAAGCCACCTCCTCCAAGTCCAAGCCACTGTGGGGAGCCCGGGGGGGGCATGTGGGCATCACGCTGCTGCTCCTCGCCTGGGTTGGTGGTGGGGCCGGGGGGAGGCGTCCAAGGCACACCCAGGCAGTCCCATCACAAAATCACACACTGGAGTCTGTGGGAGCCTGTGGCTCTGTCCCCTCGCCATTTGGTCTTTTTCTTCTTCTTCTGGCTTTTCTCTGGGATCTGTTGCCTGTTTTGGGAGACAGACAGGAAAATAAGCAGATGAGACACAAGGCTGTCTCAGACATCAGCATCCTGAGTCCTGGGCGGCCAGCAGAATGGCATCTTGGCATGCACATGTATATCTCCATATACCCTTCCACCACCACGCGGCTTTTCATGCTACACAGGGAACAAGACAACTGCCTGCATTTTTAAGGAAAGAGGAAAGAAGCCATAAGAAAACATTAAGGCTAATGACAGGGATGTATGTCCTGCCATGACACTGCCTCCAGTTGCCCTGGGTGAACTGCTGCCTCCTCCCCTGCCAGGGGGCTGCTCTGGGAAAGAGAGCAACATCATCTATCACACTGCTGCTAGTGCTCATTAGGGAAGAAGATGAAAGAGATACAGAGTGCACAGCGAAATAAACCCTCTTGGAAAGATTTGCTTTCAGCTGGCATTGCCCTTAGCCAGTTGCGCTGCTGTGGTCTTGGTTATGGAGGGGGGCTAAAAAATAATAATGAACAAACAGAATCTGCTGCCAAAGGGGCTCTGGCCTCCCGTGGAAGTTGTGAAGAACACCAGAGCATGAAGGATGAGCTGAGTCCTGAAAGATGTCCCTGGCTGTCTGAAGTCACAGCCACCCAAAACAGGCAGCTGAAAGCACTGACATCTTCCATAGGTTTAAACAGTGTCTAAATCACCAGCCTGAGAGTTTAAATAGTTCAAAACCAGCCTCTTTGCTATGTTGTATGCCGGACACTAAACTGAGTGTCTAAAACAAGTTATCCAGACCAGGATGAGACATAGCTGAGGGACAAATCATTATGGCTTTAGTTGGTGTTTTTCTTACTGCCTCAGCTCTCAAATGTTTGCAACCACCTGAAAAACTCAGCTTTCACTAGTAAGATTTTTTTTCAGTGAGCATGAAAGTTGGAGGCATGAAAATCATAAAGCTTTAAAGCTCAAATAAGCAGCCACAAGCTGTTCAAAATGTTCTGGAACCATTTTAGAGATCCAGAAAACCACGTCCCACGCCCACTCAAGATCTTTGCTGTGACAGTCCCTCTGTATGCATTGCTGCAGCATAAAAGGTGTATGAGGAAATTTAAAAGGTCTATTGGGTGAACTCTATCACCCTTCTCCTTTCTGGACTACTTCTAGACAAGGGTTTCCTGCACAAAGCTAAATAAACTGGGAATCAGTCAAGTGCAAGGAGCATGAACAGTGCCAACTCTGAGTGAGTGTCCTCACCCTGCAAATGTACATAGGCTCTGAGGAGCCTCTACATTTGTAAAGCGCTCCAGGAATGCCACAGCTATTAGGGAGTTGTAAATTTACATGTTATTTGGAAAAACTCATTTAAAAAAAGAAAAGAATACTTGGTAGGTGATGCCATCCGATGGCTGAGGACAGTCTGCAATGTCCAAAGACCAACTGAAGCTGTTCTGTGGCAAATAGCCAACTAAATCACATGGCACCTCTCTTCTCTCTGACTTAACCAGAGTTCTAGCTTTTGTGAACATCTCTGGTGCCTCTAACGCTATGGAGAGTTTTATCTGGCTGGCAATGACTTTCATGGTGACTACTCAGGGAACAGGGTGCATCACCCGTTTTTGAAGTTATGAAGTGCATTTTCAGGCCTTGAATTTAGTGATGTGTTATTACAGAACTCCTTCCAGACTGTCTGGAGATGTGTTATGTAGAGATAGCAAAACAGAGCCTCACCATCTTATTTTGGCTATGTTTTTTTCCCCGCAGAGTGGAATAGATGGTGGCAAGAGCTCACTGTAACACAAAAGTAATATCTAGACAGCCAATGATGAGTTACAGAACAGTTGGGAAATAGTTTGGGACATTTCCAGCTCAGCTCTGTATTCTCCAAAGACTTTCTGCCCCCTGCTTTTGAGACATGTGGGAAGAGTGGGCAGTACCATCTGTTTTTGATAGAGGCTGACTCGAGTCTGTGCTAAGATATTCACAAGTACAAATACACTGCGAATAAATGCCTCATGGTTTAATTCCCGACCGAGGCACTTTGACTGCATGGTGGGGAAGAGCATGATTTCAGCTCAGCACCCTCCCAAAACATGAAAAATGAGGGCCCAGAAAAATCTGGTGCCAGAAAAACAAATCTTCTCAGAGAGATTTGAAGCTATCAGCCGAGACGCCAAGATGTGCATACAGCTCTTTTCCTGCAGGGCAGCCAGCATTCTGGAAAGCAGTCCCTCCCTGCCGGCAGCCAGAGCAGGGGTTCGCCCAGAGAGCTGGAGTTTGCCAAAGCAAGAAAAAGCAGCCCATGCCAAAACTGGGAACAAGTCTCTGCAGTCTGAGGAGGAAACCTGTGGCGTAGCCATTAGGTCATGCTGCTTCTCACACAAAGCTGCTTATTTTTTTCCATTTAGTGAGCAGAAAATGTTACAAGTCACCCTTAGCATTAGACTATTGTAGAATTTTTTTGCCAGTCCCCTTTAACCTCTGGCAACATGAGACCCTGAGAGGAAAAAGCTATGAAAACCCAAATTACTGGTCGAGAGCTTTTAATGCCAGCCTTTTAAAGTTGATCATTACAGTAGGCTTTGCACTGTTCATTGAATAATATAGTTTCATCATATCCACAGCTAGTTCTCAACCTACCTAGTACTGATGTCCTGCAAGGGTAACTAAGAGCTAGTAACATGCCTATGCAGAAACAGGACAAGAAAGTTTAGTAAACCCCAGAAGTCTCCCACCCCCAACCAAACCACATGACCCCTGAAGTTGGCTCCTGGCTCTCTGGGCCAGGACTCCAGCATGTTCCATCCCCAGGCAGTAAACAGGTGAAGAGATTGTAGCTTACCTTATTACCCTTACGAGGTCGTGGAAGGCCTTGTCAACGTTTAGAGGTGGGTCCTTGGCACTAGTTTCTATATAGGGAATCTGGAAGAGAGAAGCATATCATGGAAGAAATTAGTAACAGCCTGCACGTTGGTAGCAAAACAGTTTCAAGATGAAACACCCTAAAGGCTGGAGTAATTGGGTGTCTAACAGACCAGGGAGATACAGGTAAACAGTGTTGTCATGGCACTGCTATCAACACCTTCATGACCACAACAAGGTCAGTGAGTGCTTGACAAAAGGTTCAGAATAAGCACCAGGCAAACCAGCTGCTATCAGAGCTCTGGGTTTACAATACTGTTAGGTTTCATGTTGTCAGATGTTCTCTCCCCCTAATCTGTGCTTGCAGACATGAAAATAGCCGAAGGTTGTTGAAAGACAAGCACTTGCCAAAATTCTTGCTTGCCACATTTTATTAGGACTACTGCATGAATATTTCATGACTACAATTCCCCTTCAGTGTAAAATGATCTTCTCCTTCAAAGTCTGACAGCCAGATGGGGCCTCCTGGAGTGCCTGTCCAGCATGCTGGCTGATTTATAAAGCTGCCTCTGATAAGGTATTTTCGTACACGGCCTTTTCCAAAGCGTGCACGTACAGATGGGTGCAACATGTTATGCTGCAGTTTAGGTCACCTGGATCCTACAGAAATGAGCTTCCTTGGGGAGGGAGTGAACCTGCCCTGCCAAACTCCCATTGTGGCTTGTTTAGAAACACTGAACAGCTTGCCATCTAGGCACAGCAAGCTGCCAAGAGGTCTCAGGCTTGTTTCCTTTTACTTTTCCATTCACTTCCTCCTAGGGAGTTGTCTCTCTCTGGGTGTTCAGGACTGCTGGCATTTAGAGGTGATTAGTGGAGTAGGGTGTGATCTACACCCATCTAAGACCAATTTCTCAGGCTAAACTACAGCATGAATAACGCAGAGCTAATATGGTGGGACATATTTATGTAGGCTTAACAACCTTGTAACTTCATTATCTTTCAACAAGCTCACTTCCTACAGACACTTCCTAATGTCTGACTCCACCTTTTCACTCCAGGAGAGAGCACTTTCTTCCCTCATTTTGAATAGTTCACATTTCTCACCACTTGCAGACACTTCCTACAAATGGCTTTATGATGGCCAGTGTTGCTACAGCCCAGTGCTCAGCACAGCTTCTAGTTTCAATAATGAACTGGCCCTGCTGAAAGGCAACTGCATAGCTACTACATTGTAGTAATCAAAATGTAATTGCAAATGTTCGATTGTAAGAGAAATACTTCAATTCCACTCCAAATCAGCTGAGAATTCAATTCTGAATGCCTGTAATGGGACTTAGAACAACCAATTAAACAATCCTGCAAACTTACATTATGTTTTGTTGCCATTTCTCTTCCCTGTTCTCTTGTAATTTTCCGCAAATGCATTAGATCAACTTTGTTTGCCACCAAAATCATTGGAAAGGACTCTCTGGAAAAAAATCAAAACCACCACCCAATTATTAGCAGACTACAATAAAAAATGCTGAGCGTAAGTTTCACTTTCTGATGCTGACATCATCTAACATTCTCAGCTACAGACATACCACATATGTAACAGACCAAATGAACACACTTCAGCCTCCAGACTGTGCTACACATATGTTCATATCGTAAAATTTCACTTCTCAAAGTTCCATGCATGCACGCATTCATCCTTATTTGCAAGCACTTCAGGGACTTTGTGTCATTGTTTCTTCAATGCCTGATAATAGCTAAGCCTGAAGATCCAATTTGATGAAGAAAGAACTACAGAATTAGTCAGGAAATTAACCGAGACATAGAGGCAGCTCTTGAACAGGAGATCGGGACTCTTTTATAACAATTCAGGCATTTCAGTAACTACGTATCTTGGAAGCTGCTCCACACTACAAGGTAACAAGACTGTAGTGATAGGACAAGGGGTAATGGGTTAGAACTTAAACAGGGGAAGTTTAGATTGGATATAAGGAGGAAATTCTTTCCTGTTAGGGTGGTGAGGCACTGGAATAGGTTGTCCAGGGAGGTTGTGAATGCTCCATCCCTGGCAGTGTTCAAGGCCAGGTTGGACGAAGCCTTGGGTGATACGGTTTAGTGTGAGGTGCCCCTGCCCATGGCAGGGGGGTTGGAACTTGATGATCTTAAGGTCCTTTCCAACCCTAACTATTCTATCATTCTATGATTCTATGTGGTGGAACTGATGTCAGTTCATGTCCTTGTCATCCACTGAAAGCAATCACTGGGGGAGAAAAGATGTACACTGATAGCTGGAATTTAGAGAGGCATCAAATGGGGTAGAAGAGATCTCCATCAGCTGTTACCCCAAGAAAAATTGAAAGACTGGCAGCGGTAGCTGGAAGGAGGCTGGAGGGAACCATCTTAGTCTGACTAAGCTTCCAGATGCTATTACCCCATCTTCTCCTTCTAATCCCAGAGCAAAACCACGATGAACAACCATCCTTTTCTACCATAACCATCTACCTCTGTAATAATGCTCAGTACTTAACTTCACCAGGCATATAAGTGACTGTATTCAGCTACCGCCTGAGAAGAGACCCATCTAACTACAGCTTGTCCAGTGTGAGGCTCCCTCGATGAGGGTGGGTCAGGCTCCCACCTGGCAGAGACCCCCATAGCTCCAGTGATTAAACAGAACCAAGGCATCTCATGCCATGGGAGGTCCTGGCAGCACAGCGCTTCCCACCCCACCTCTCACACTGGAGCCTCTCCTGGCTCAAGAATTCAAGGCCAGGTTGGACAGAGCTTTGAGCAACCTGATGTAGTGGAAGGTGTCCCTGCCCATGGCAGCGCTGCTGGAACTAGGTGACTGCCAAGGTCCCTTCCAACCAGAACTGTTCTATGATTCCATGATTCCTTTGGCTGCATGCCAGAGAGAGCAAAGTTGTGCTTCAGAGCCTTTACCCACTGCCAGGAGGGAGGAGGTCCCTTCTGATAATTGACAGTTACTGCAGTATTAGTTTCTTATATTTAACTTTAAACCCTCCAAAAATGATTCCAGTGTTCTCTGCTGTAACAGAGCTGATTTTACTGGAGTAAGGAGCAGCTGGCTGTACTCATTTCTGCATAAAACACTTCTCTGAGTAACTCTGGATTTTCAGACAGTGTTTCTGTATCATTTTTCATCGAGATGATAAGGGCTTCATCTTCTCCCTGGCATACCGCTTCATTGCTCTGGCTAGAAAAACACTGTACTGCATTCTGCATTTTAAATGAGTCTTACAAGTTATTTGTTCTGCTAATGTGGCTTTGATTTAATTTTAATGCCTAAGCATTGATATATCTTGACTCTGATCATTCTGGAGCAAAACACTTGCTTGTCAGGATTATTTGATTCCTTTTTGGCTTGCAGTACATTGATAAGAAAGGGATTACATTTGGACAGTGTCTGATTTGCCTTGTTTACATCAGGCATAAAACTCTATGGGGATTTTGTTCCCTGTTGCAAGATGTACTATTGCTAGTTGGACAAAACTACTAGAAAGTTTTACTGTAATGAAGGTTTTGGAACTAACAGGAGGAAGGCTTTGTACAGCTCTGCTACCACAGCACCCTGCAATTCCTTTGGATTTTAAGGTGCCAAAACTGACTACTTGCTTGAAAACCAGAGCAATGCTCTGCTCCCAGCTACCCGCAGGTCTGGCAGGAAGGTTCCTTTACTCACACTGCTCCTACTGCTGTGATTTGCTGAGTGAGCTCAGGTTTTGGATGAAACGTTAAGCTCCTCATGCTCTGCACTTCTGTGGTGTTGAGCAGAGAAACACAAACAACTTCACCAGCCTGTTTCACTTCCTGCTTCTCACACGCTGGCTGCGGTGTTTGCACAGCATATGCAGGGGTAAAAATTTCAGTCCAGAGCAAAACAATGAATACCACATCTTATTTTCACAAAGTTAAATTAGATAAAACTGACATCGGTTGGGGCAGGTTACAGGAAACACTGTCCTATCTTCTTTAGCTTTCAGAAACAGATTTAATTTGCCTCAAGCTGAGCTGGCAGTGAAGAAAAGACTGTCGTGATCTGGGAGGCTGACTGACTGACTGACATTTTTCTTCATTTAGATGAAATCAAAGGATGTGTTTTCCTTTACTTTTCACTCTTGTGGGCTCCACTCTGGATGCTTTACTGGAAGAGCTGTCAGCTGTGAACCTCACATGATAGGAGTCCACCCTTCCTGTGGGGAAGTTATTCAGAGCTGTGAAAGGAAGCCAGCAACGAGGCCTGAACCCTCTGGTGGCTTTTCTTGATGACTTACATAATTAAAAGCCATTATGGATGGAAAAAATAAGTGTTTTAAAGCTGCAGATGTATAAGGGCTTAATTCACACCCCACCCAGTGAGGATGGGTTCATCACCTCTTGAACCAGGGTGGGAAGAGGGAGTTATCTCTGAGATAAACTGGCAGCTTCCCCTCTCTCTATCAGGATGCATTTGCTTACCATGATTAAACTCTCATTGCTACCTTCTCCCATGCACGCAAAAGGAGGGGAGCAGGTGACCTTTTCTGCTCACTCCTCAGTCACGCAGAGATGCTGTATTCACTAAAAATGGTTGCTGCAGAGCACTATGCTTTAACCGCATTACACCCCTTGTAAGCAATACAGTTCTTTCCAACATGGGGTATTTTCCCTTTCAAGACACTTGTTCACAGCCTCAAATCATGCAGGACCTTATAAGATTTGTTTGGCACAAACTGAAACCAGTGAAAGGAGGATGCTGCCAGAACACACAACATGATTAGGCCTAAATGCTTGCCGACTCCCTGCTGGTGTTCCCAAAGTGCCTGCACTCTGCACAAAGCATCCTTTCTCCCCTCTTCAGACCCAAACTGGTTACCTTCTAAGCTGTCTGACCTGCCTTTCTCACACTGCTCTGTCACACCATTCTGGTAGGAGTTTCTCCCTTCCAGATCTTCCAGACCTAGTGTTAAGACTCCATCCTAACACTACTGAACTTTTCCACGTTGAAAGCACTACATGCTTATTAGAAGAGGTAAAACACTCCCTATTGCTCATATGTAGGTGCACAAACCCACATACAAGGATTTGCCCAGGGACACCCAAGAGACAAAAGGCAGGATGAGACCTCCAACCTCCCCAGTGGCACAGTCTCCAGCAGCAGAAGCGGGGTCAGGCAGCGCCTGTCTTCACAGCACCCACCTGTCCTTGACTCTGAGGATCAGCTGGTGGAACCGGTCCACATGCTCGAAGCTGGCCTTGTCCGTCACTGAGTAGACTATAAGAAAACCATCTCCAGTCCTCATGTACTGCTCTCGCATTGCGCTGAACTCCTCTTGGCCTGCAGTATCCAGAACTGGGATAGAAGAAACAAAGGGTTTTAGGTACTGTGAGTCTTGCAGCTGCTGTCACTGCTTTGTGTCCTACATGGCTTTTCTGACTCCACTGGGCTTGGTCCTCTCAAAGGCTGCAAGATTTGGTGATAACAAATTGGATGGACAAGGTGGTTTCTTGTTACAAGGCAAAACCCACTCCCAGATCCCGCTCATCACTGTGTGCCTACGGTGGGAGCAGATGGACGGGAAGAAGACTACCTGGATTTTACTTTCATTTTCCAGTACAAAATACTGACCACTGAACCTGGGGAGTTACTCCTCTGGCAAGATACGGCTCAAAGTTATTCACAGACCTCCATTATTCCCTCTCCCAGCTTTCTGTTCTCCTCATGGAAAAACCCAAGACTAGAAGAGTAAGTAACTGCCAATTTAAATGTCAGGGACAATCTACAAGCTCCATGGTGAAGCAGAGCTGGGAGAAAACGCAGAACAATAGCTACAAGCATTTTCCTTTTCTCAGTACCTGGATATTACTTCTACACTATCACATGCTTTCAGAGCAAGACTTGAGAAGGAGGGCTGAACAAGAGGAGTTCATCAGTTTAGGTTATGCCAGTATAAACATGGTGTGAGCTCAAAGTGCACCAGCTGCTCAGAAATAATATTCCTAATGCATCACTGTATCCTAGAGACAAACACAGGACCTTAATAACAACTGGGAACATTTTCACATTTCAGTCAGCTGGGCTGGGTGGGAAAACTGTTTCCACCTCCACTATGGAGCCACATCGTAAGCATCTGCTACCCACAAGTGATGGGGAAAGCCCAGGGCACTGGTGGATGGAGACTGTGGCAGAAGCATACTGCTGATGGAGCAGCAAAGCTTGATACGGGTTTTTCCAGTCTGAGCAGGCCCACAGTCCCAGCAAGATGCTCCTGTAGGGGTAAGTACTCAGCCTGCGCCAATTGCCAGATGAGGCCAGGATAAAGCCCACTTTACTGCTGGTGTTCCTTGCTGAACCAGCATGGGTGACCACAGGTGGACATGCTGCATGTCACAGTTCATCCCACAAGCCAGCCCACACACTTTCGCTATATGTCTGCAGGAAAGGCAGCTATGCTGTAGGACCTATAGACCTTATTTGGTGACAGCAGGCTCTTAAAGCCTTCAACTTCATTTGCCTGTCTTAGCTGGTCTTGAATGTCTGTTTCCATGAGCCCTTAAAGTGAAAATTGCTTCTAGGGTCTTCCAGAGACCCTGAGATTTAGACTTGTTTGCCAAATAACTGGAGCTTGCTGGAAAGTCATGGGTATCTCTTCATAGTTTTTTATCCTTTCACTGTGCTTCTCCCCTCTAAATCTAGGAAAAGGGCCCTCAGCTCAAAGGCATCCAGGCTATTCTTAAGGGCTATACAAAAAAGAAAAAAGAAAAACAGCCCAAAGACACTCCATGTACTGGTGAATTTCTATGCCCTGGGCAGAATTGCTACCATGGAATAAGGCCAGGACAGTGCAGCTAGAATGGAAGAGGAAATCCTTCCTACCCACCCAACCCTTAAGCAGAGGCTGGGCTGCCCTCGTCTGACTCCTGCACTAGCTGGACGTGATGTCGGGGCAGGGCTGAGGGCTGACAAGCAACACACACACAAACATGCAGGCTTTCCCTCCAACACACACACCCTACTTGTGGTGGAGTAGGACAGCTTCTCGCAGGGAGCTGGGCTCTCCTGCCCTCCCTCCCCCTGAGACACGGTAGGTACCCAAGCACAAGCTGTGGGCAGGAAGGTGGAGATGGATGTGCCACATCCTGCATGATAATTTGCTTAGAGACTTCCCCTTGCTCTGGCACATTTGCAAACCTCAAAGGAAACTCATGAAGAGCATCCAGCTCTGCTTTTGCATCCATCCACCCATCCCCAAGCTGATGCCCCTCCAAAGCTTTGCATCCCCTGACAGGGCAGGGGACTAGTCCTGGGGGAAAGCTGTGGGGATACCCAAGAGACAGAATGGGGCTGTGCTCCTGCCACTCCTACCTCGCCTGGATCTTGGCCATGGCATCATGCTAAACACAGGCAGAGATGCAGCGTCAGCAGCTGCTATTTAAAGGGAATTCACTTGCAGCATCTGTAGACAGGCAAGCAAGTCCAGGCAGCATTTAAAATGGCATGTTGAAATGCAAGTAAAAGACATGCAGCAGTGAATGTTAAGGTTAATCTCAGACGGGCTATTCACACAAAAGTTGAACATCACATAGATGGCCAGAGAAAGTATTTGTTTTAACTTTAAATCTACTCTTCATAAAGACAATCCCATATCCTAAAACTTCTGTGCTACCTGAAATGGAAACAGAGAAGACAGTGCGATCTGGATCCTTTGTAGGCAGGATGGGACCACATTCTGGAAAGCATCAGCAGCAAAAAAAGGCAGGATGCGAGTGGCTTTGCTTCTGGAATAATCCTGCGGCATAAAAGCTTCAAGAAGAATGGGAAAGTAGCGAGGAGAAACCTTGGGAAGGTGAAACTGGGAAGGTGATTTGACTGGGTTCTCAAAGGGGTGAGGATATTTACAATGTTAGCCAGCATTCCCCTTTTTTAAAGTTCCCGTTTCTGCAGACAGGATGCCAGAAGACACAGAAATAATAATGAACAGAGAAGTACTATGAGCTCTCTTTTCCCCTGGTACACTTTAAAACAGCAGTTGGCTCTTACTGGCAGTTGCCCCACTGGCAGCGCATAAAAGCCAGTGTGGAAACAAGACTGGACCAGAGCGCAGCAGGTTTCCCCTACCTCATTCATCCAAGAACTGAAATCAGATTCATAGGGTGCACAGCTCATGATCAGGGACTTCCAGCAGCAAACTTGGTGAAGTTCCCACAAACTTGACTGAGAAAGAAGCAAGGAACAGCGTTAACAAAAACGTTTGGATAAAGACTGAGGAGAGAGAAGGCAAGGATTATGTCTGGTGTGGAAACAGACATCATCCAGAGAGGGCAAAGCCATTTTACAGAGCTATCACATAATCAGCTGGAGACTAAACTAAGAGCAATTAGGCTGTGAAAGCCCAGCAGGGAGGCCTCCTGCTTTACAGGTAAGAGGCTGCTGAGCGAAGAGATGGCCTTTTCTGCTTTCCAGTGGATGTAACCCCAACTGTTGTGATGAATTCCTTGCTAATTGAATCCTGCCCCCTTAAAGCTCTCCACACTACTTTCTTGTGAATCCCGATGGGTTTTGCAAGAGTGTGGCTGTTTAGAGAGCACTTTTGAGCAGAGACAGAAGCCCAGGAATATATGGGAATTTGCAGCCCTAAATAGAGGCACATGGGTGATTACAGGTATTTCGTGTGGCAAAAATGTCTCTGCAACTGAGAGTGCTGAGTGCCCATCCAGAAACACAGGCATGTAAATCCAAGCCAAGGGCAGAGGCATACTATGAAACCTGTCACAGCATTGTTTTTTCTAGAGCCTAGGCTAGATTCAGTACAGATTCAAACACAGCCTTCAGAACCTTCAGGGGGCTCAGATCTGGTTGTACAGATGAGTTTCTCTTCTCTTTTCATACCTAGGCACATTCCTTCTTATGTCTTTATCTTCTTATTGCTGGGCAGCTAAATGCATAGATCAACTCATGGGAGTTTCTTCACTACCCATGACATCTAAGGGGCCAAAGGTGATGAGACAGGCAGGTTAAACCTATTTTCTATCCTTCAGCCCTCGGGTTTCACTGCCCGAATCTGACACTAGCAGCCTGCTTCAAGCAGCAACTGCATAGTGCTGCAGCCAGCCCTGTAAGCAGCTCAGTGTGGCTCCCCCAGCGCCTTGCCTTCCAGTGTCCAGGACACAGTCGTTAGCACCTACCTCGATCTCATGCTCAGAAAGGCAAGCACAATGTGTACAACTTGGTTTTGCAAGCAGTTTCCAATGAAATCCCTTTGGCTACATAAGTCCAGCACATGCGTAAGCCATTAAGGGGCTGGATGGGTCAGCAGGCAGATAGGAACCCAAGTTTACAGTGCCAGGGAGAGGAGCTGCACAAAGGAGCAACTCCAGGCATCTTCTGCTTCTTTGACTTCTTAATATGAAATACAGGAAAAGTCCCTGGAGCAAAGAGCAGACCTGGGAATGCAGCACTGTCGGGAGACTACAGGTTACAGAGCTGGACTCATAGTGCTTCTTTCTCCTAGTCTTGCTTTCCTCTTGGCATGGCAGCTCTTCTTCTAAAGGTGAAGACAGAGAGAAACTCCATCCTCAGTTGCTCTGCACCTTGATAGTGAAGCTCAAGGGAAAACTTAACTTGAATTGACAAGTGAAACCAACGAGTCTCAGGCTAACGAAAGTCATCTCCGCAGTCTTCATTTTCCTTCATCAGCAGTGCAGTGGGACAGGACACCCCCATCAGCCATTCGCTTCAGCTGAGGAATTAGTATTCTGGGTGATGAGCAATTAGAGTGCATCCGCTTATATTCTCTATTCCCCCACCCCAAGGCACCCTGAAGAGGTATGAGGTTGCCATGCTCTGCTGAAGGTGAGGTAGGTGCTTCACCTGGTCACTCTGATACTTCTGCTCCTTCCCAGATACAGCCACACTGCCCACACTGGTCCAGGAATGAGAGCTTTCCTCAGGCAAAAACATGTGATGGGAAACACTGGGGCTTTTATGAGCCCTTCTTCTGTGTCCTAACTAAATACACCGATGTTGTAACATGGAAAACCCAAGTACTTGAATTCTTGCCCTTTCTTTAAGGAAAAAGAAGAGGGGCCTTCAGAAGAAAGACTTACACATCAATTAACAGAATAAAGATGCAAGCCCTTAAAGGAGCTCTTTCTCTAACAAAGGGCAAGTATTCAAAGCCTTGTGTTTTCCATGTTGCAACATCAAAATTTTCCTGGCAGGAAAAAAATCCCCACAACCCAAGACAAAACCCCCTCTTTCAAGGTTGCAAAATCCCAGTAATTAAGGGAGGAAAAATACTGTACACACAAATCAAAGAATTAAAGTACAAACTTCATTTGAATTTTAATTCTTTCAATGATGCTACCCAGAGTTTAAATAAAAAAAAGAAAGAAAGAAATAAAGCTGCAAACCAACCCTTCTGCCTGCAAGTCTGAAGTGACCTTTGATCTCCCTCTGGCCTCCTGGCTGAATTGTTCCCAAGCTTCCTGAGGAGAAAAGCAGACAGCCTGTCCTGGGATGATTAGCAGCAAAAAGAGATGCATGAGAAACACAAGGGAGCCTGGCAGAAGTAATAGTGCTTGGTGTTACTCCACAGGGCTGCCCACCAGAGCTGTGCCGATCTAGCCCAATGCAAGAACCCCCAGGGACTGAGAGGGGGACTTGGGAAGAAAAGAAACACAATGAAAGACTGAAGCTCAGGAGTAGGAAAACAACTTCCAGGCAGTGAGTTTAATCTAAATCAAACTAGGGGAGGGGAAGAGGAGGAAGACTACAGCCTCCTTCCACCAATGCAATCAGCACAGTTTCTTGCTTTGCTGGTGCCAAGGCACAGCCCTACTGACAGCAAAGAATTTAGCCCAATTCATCAATAAGCCCAAGCCATGTGCTTCTGACCATCTCTTCTTTGACACCTTTTTATTTCTGTGTCGCTTACGAGCCATAAGGATTTTGAACCACTGGGATTTTTTTTTGCCTTACAAAGGTATTTCACTTTTGTCTTCATGCCTGGATGATTAATTCCAGACTGGCATTTTTGCAGCCATGCCATCATTTGCTAATTGCTAAGTTAGCCCGCACACAGAGAAGAGTGTACAAAATTAATGACGGCAACTCAATTGGATCAAAGTAGATTAACCCTGGCCCCCACTTGATTCTGACCTGATGTGTCTATACAGCACCTGCGTGTGAATGCATTTAAGCAAGCACATCACCATGTTGATTGCAGCATGAATAGCCAGGAATAAATCAAGGTAACATATGCTGAGAAAATTTGAGGCTGATCTTAAAGCTTCACTGGGGTGGTAGCAACTGAAAAAATGCACTAGGCACAAATTGCCTGTGCCCTCATTCAGGTTAAGTGCCCTGTTTCACTCTACAACACTTGTCCTCCAAACACTGCATCAATGGTCTTATAAAACTGATGTAAGGCCAACAGTAAAGTATTTTTGTGTAGTGTTGGCCTTGAGCACAGCAAGCGCAGGTCCCACAATCTTCTGGGAGACAGGGAAGAATCAAAGACTCTTCTTTGGTGAGAAAATAAGACAGAGACATGTCCAAGCCAGTGAGCAAATATGTGAAAGTTTGAACATATGTTTGGCTCCAAGGTCTCAAATCTGAAATAAAAGCCTATTCCATACTACTTTCAGTGAGAGATTTCAGCAAAAGAAAAAAATGCAAGTAAAACATTTCATCACACTGCCAGTTAGTGCTATTGAATGTTAGTGGGTGGAGGTCTTCATGGAGAGAAGCCAAATATTTTATGCAAGCTGGCTAGCACAAGGGTTTTTTTACAACATAATGCTGGTGCAGATACCAAATGCCAGAAATGCTTTTTATGGAACTGCTCAGGCAACAGCCTGGAAAAGGGTGGGCTGTGGGTTTGGGATTTGTTTGTTTGTTTGGTTTTAAGTTGTTGGATGCCAATATATTTGTTGTTTGGTTTTTTCTTAACTATTTCTGAAAACTCAGAAACTTACGGAGCCCTTCACGCTATATCCACGCTATATCCTCACTTGGTAGTCTCCACGTCTAAAACTGCTCTTATTTTGGCAGTGGGTAGCTTCTGCTTCCTACCGAGAGCTGCATGAAAGGATTTGGTCTTAAAGGACAACTGGAAAGTCTAGAATTTATTATGATGCATCGCCACCCTTCCTATCATGTTTGTCCCTAATTTTATACCATAAGGGATTCATGCAACCACGTGTAACCACAACAAGAGCAGCTGTCCAAGTATATAGTGACCTCTGAGGATGGCCTAGATCCAAAGCCAATAAGCTGTGGCAGAAGACACACATGATAGTCTTTATGACCTGTTTCTACTAGACAGATAGTAAAGGCTCACGTGCTTTTCCAAGCAAGAATACTGTCTTTCTTCCAAAATTCTGATTGTTCAAAATCTCAAGCAGTAAGAAAGAGAAGGAGAAGCTGCAGTTTCACTTCCGTGGCTACAAGACTTCTGTGGGTATATGAACTCTGAAAGTCATGGATTCCCAACATGCCATTCAAGGCCACAGCTCAATTCAGTTCAGTCCAAATGCAGCCACTAAACCCCTTCTGAGCAAAAGAAAGGCTTTTTCATTAAATCAAAGGGTTAAGTTACTGCTTGTTGGAAAACAACCTCTTTTCCCACTCCCACCCAGGTCACGGTTGTTTATTCCTGTTAGAGTTTTTTTTGGGGTTTTTTTTGTTTGTTTTACCAAACCCAGGCTGTGCCAACACCAATGTGTACAGCACCTGGCACTGTTAGATCAGATCATGGAGCATACCAGCAAAGATAAAGGTTGCTCGTCTTAGAGTGCTGGATTCTGGACTAAAAGGGAAGTATGGTTTCCATTTACAGCAGGACTGGATTTTTCTTTTATACAATACTGGCATTTAAAAAAGAGGTGTACAGGTACATTATGCGACGGTTACTTGAGAGCAGGTCTCTCTGATGCAGTTTAAAACAAGAGACACATTTGGGCTTTGTACTTAAGAGCACAACCCAAGATGTCAAGTATACAGACCAAGCCTGTGGTCTATACAGGAAACCCGAACAGCCTCCACATTCCACCGCTCATGTCATTCCCCCAGTTTTCTGTCCCCACACACCAATGATACATATGCAGAGACACCAAAGATCTTCAGCACCTTGATGACAAAAGGGTGGAGGTAGGATCTTGACCCAAGTAAGGTTAAATTTAGTTCAGTTCTGTTAGTGGCCAGGTACATGCACCTAGGTAATTAAGGCACAAAATACTTGCTTGCTTTTATGAACTACCTAACTGTTGCATAAAACCAAATAAAACTTGTAACATTTAACAGCAACGTTCCCCTTATGACTATGGTCAGTCTTGTAGCACAAACTAGTAAGTTATAGCTTTAGGTAATATAAGGAATTTTCCTCATCTGCAGAATCAAGATTTTTTTGATTTTTTTTTTTTTTTGGGGGGGGGGGGGTGTATGTTGGCGGGTTTCGTTTTTCTTGGGTTTTGGGTGCCTTAAAAAAAAAAAAAAAAGAGAGAGAGAAAAAAGGCAGTTTTACTTCAAAGAACTGAAAGCTCTTGGTTGCAGCAATTCTCCAGGCTGCTACCCTACCCATCGTTAAATGAAAAAGGTAACTAAATATGAAAACATCATGCCTAAATGGTGGGATTTAAGAGGTGTTACAATTCTTCACTGTCAGTGGATGACAGCTTTGATTAAATGTTCTTTCTGGTTATCTTTTCTATTCAGTTACCCACTCAGTGTTATTTCCCAAGGGATGAGCCTAACAATGAAGTACCATTAGCAAGAGCTACCTCACAGTGCTATAATTCATCTTTTGTAGAAACCTACCCCAAATGTCTATGATGATCTATAGGTTTTTACACTTCTGTTAGAAACATTTATGTGCAGAACTGGAACCAAAGCAACTGGAAGCAGAAGTTTTGCTGAAGATCAGTTGCAGACCACACACTGCAGCTCACAGGCCAGTTTGCACTGAAATTCCTGGCAGCCCACAGAAGAGTAGGAGAAGCACAAGGGCACAACATGCTGTGGAAGGCATTGAGGTCTATTTGCACTTACGCTCAACTGTAAGGGAAGAGGGACTATGAGTGTAGTCTGCTTACCATCAAGAATTGCCCATTGCCCGTCTATTTCCGTGTGCTTCAGGTAGGAGTCTTCAATAGTTGGGTCATAATCCGGCACAAAAATCTTCTGGAAAAACTGAATGGTGAGAGCACTCTTCCCCACGCCACCATCTCCAACCACCACCAGCTTGTATGTGGGGAGGTTTTCACTGGGAACTGCACTTGTAGCCATGCTTCCAGTGTGCTAGACCTGCTGAAGAAAGAGATCATCTCTGATCACCCATAAGCAACAAAAAGAGGACAACATGCATAAGGCTGCTTTTACCTGCTGCCTAAGAAGCAAGGAGGAAGGCAGCACTGACATCCAGAGTCCTTTTGGACAGGAGAGGCAGCATCTGTGCTCCCCAACAGCTCTACCGCAACTCAGACCCATCACTTAGAAGCGCAGACAACCCCACCATTGTGGTTCAGTCTACTCCTGCCTCATCTACAAGCATCCCTAACTGCCACTCAATGCAAGTGCAGAACTTTTATCATCCAAATACCTTTCCCATATGGGCTATGCCCACACGGCCATGCCAAAAATCAGCCTGGCTCAGCACAGTTTTCAAGCTCCAGATAACTTCCAGTTGTCAGTGACCAAATCCCATTGATAAGCCACAGCTCTGCTACTGTTGACTGCTTAGCCTAGGGTACAGCAGGCACTAAATGGTGCTTCATTCACAGGGTACAGCAAGCATCCTGGGGCCAGACCCACAGGCAGAACCAGCAGTGATGGATGAAACTGGAGTTAAAGGTCCAATCCTGGCTCTGCAGCAGACAAAAATGCACTTAGCTGATCTCTTCTGTCTCATCTTCAAGTTCAAGTAATAAAAACTAAGTGGCAGCAGGCCAGGAACAACAGGTGTCTTTTGTTTTGCCTTTTTTATTTTTCAATAGCCCCAGCCCTGCTGTGGCAGGAAGGCTGGTTTCTGTGGCTATGACACAGCCCAGGGAGCCAGGAGAGCAGCTTCCCCTGCAGCACAGCCACACTGTCCCCCATCCCGGGGGAGCCAGGGAGGAACTGACTCTTACAAGAAAGCAGAGAAATATTCACCGGCTGCAACTGGGCAACGGCACACGTGCATGGAGAAAGAAGAGGCAGCCATTGCTGAACAGCCTGTTTCATCACCCAGCGGCCCTGACCGCTTATTTAAGAAGCCAGGCAAGCAGTCTCGTATATATGCTAAGGCAGGCAGTGCCCTCCACCCGCCCGCAGGCATCACTACTGATAAGGCTTAAAAGAGGGCAGCCAATTTCCTTGGTGCCGGTTTTCCTGACGCAAGCCTTCCAGCACGAGAGCAGCTGTGGTGACACTTTCTGTAGGCAGCTGCTCGCATCCATTTTGTTTTCTCTCATGCTCTTCAGGCTGCAGATGCTGGCTGGGATCAGTGCTAAGGGGGGGATGAAGACTGCCCTAGGCTGGCTGCACTGAGGGAATCCCCATAAACTGCTGGCATCCCGATTGTCCTTGAATCACATGTATAGGAACTGTCTTAGTTTCTTCTCTGGAAAGAAAACCCTACAGACAGAGAAAGAACATGATCACAAAGATGAGATCACTGAGGCTAGTAAGAACTGCAAAGGCTTCTTCTCCTAGTTGAGGCAAGCCAGTATCTTCAGAGCAAGAAGAAACATGATTAAGTCTGCTTGTTTCTAAACTATCTTTGGAGGGAATTCTTGACAACAACAAGAATTTCCACTGTAAGCAAGAGCTGCTGAATGGAGAGAATGAGACAAAGCACCAGATGAGGACTCAACCAGTCTTACTGCAGTTCCTCATCGTAACCCCAAGGAAAGGTTTCTCACCCTGAATTTTGGCACAGTAAGCAATTTTCTCATATTTACAAGATCATACATCAGCAAGCAGCATGCTTGGCTGCATAGAAACGTAGGAATTTCAACTATTTTATCATTTTTTGCTTGAAAGACCAGGTTTTTCTGTGTAATCCTGCTGAGGTCAGACAGTCCTCACAGGCTTGCAAGGAGAGAGACCCCAGCTAAAACCCTAACCCTCCCCCTCCAATACATTTTTATGACAATTTTTTGCTTTGCCTGTGGCCAAGATTTCATCCCATCCTTCTCTAGATGGCAGAGCAGCTCTGGCCAGGCGGTATGAAAGACAGATTGTTACTGACACGGAGGGGGACAGGCTGCAGATGTGAAAACCAAACTCCGTTTGTGCAGGATTTTTGACCTCATCACAAAACCACAAGCTACTGCTTGGCAGACAAGTGTTACATTTTCACTGACATTTTGTACCAGTCCCTTCAACTCGCTCCTAAGAAGCCTCGAGCTTATCTTGCATGAAACGCTTCCCAAAGTACTAGGGTAATATTTAGCCCATTGTACTAACAGTGACTCTGTCCAACATGCTCATGGGTTGAATTGGGTTGTACTGTCATAGTAAACGTCTAAGCCGCCAGGCTGAATATTATGTAGCTTGGAGAGAACAGCAAGAACTGGGAAGAAAAAAAACTAAAATTAAAGAACTGTAGGTTGGTTTGTTCAGCACAATGCCCTGTATTTTAGGTGATGCTATCATGAACAGACGAAAACTTCTATTGAGTGTCAAAAGGCAGCAAGAGTAGATGTTTCTACAAGGCTGTTTCTACTGCTCATGGAAACACTCCTCCTTTTACTGAGATGGCAGGCCCTGTGCTCTCAACATGCAGGTATGTAATGCAAACCCTCTGAAAGCCAAGTACTTTAATCCCTCTACACCTCCACCTGCCCTGATAACTATAGCAAGAAGATAGCTCATGCGTTGACAAGATTATCATCTAAACCAGCCAATAAATCAAACCTTAAAATCAAAATATGTCACCTCCTGGAAAACATTAAACACTCGTAAAGGTGTGCAGAGCTTCCATGGTGGCTGGTTATGTTGCTAGAGGCAAGTGCACAAGACTTGGGCTGATTTTCACGTGTTTTTGGCCAGAGTACTGACAGAGTGCTCCTCAGATGGGAGCAAGAATAAGCGTGTTTGCTGTAGATCTGAGTGAGAAAAATGAAGCACAGATGTTTTTATCTATTGTCTGAATACAAAGCAGCATGTGGTAATACACTAATAAGCTCTGATGATAATCATCTTACAACTTATATAGTTGTTTATTTTGAAGGAGCCAAAAGAAGGATTCATACCCTACACTGACGAATGCTGTCGGGGCTCTGCTTAAGTCACTGGAAGGAGGCTGACTTATACAACTGTCTTCATATGCGCTGGCAAGATCTGTGTCCTGACAGCACAAGCCAGTAATGCTGAGACAGTCAGAAATGTCTCTGGTCCTGGGCCAGATGTCGAAGAGAAAAGAGAAATGCTGACCCAAGAGTATCATCAGGGCTGAGCCTCTTCTGCAAAACTGGTATTTTTTTATAGAGGCAGAATAAACTGCACAAAACCCCATTTACCTCTCTGGGCATGGGAATGGAGTGGAAGGGCTGAGCTACCCCCTTGGAGCAGCTAAGTAACATAAAGACACCAAAGATGGCGAAATTCAGCTTGGTTTGTGTGACTGGACCACCAAGCCCCAACAGGTCACCAAAACATATAGGTTGTGTAACTAATCCCTATCCTCACTGCAACAGTTGCCCTGAATGTAAGTAGGACAGACCCCAGATTGTGTAAATCATTGTAGTTTCTGTTCATCTGGGCAGAGGTATGGCCACATATGACAATAATAAAATCAACTCCAGATATCTGATGTATAAGTACCCCTAAACCAGCTTCCAGCTCTGCTCTCCTTAAGGCAGAGCTCCCAGGGCAAAATCATTACAGCAGGTAAACCAGCTCAGAGCCAAGCCCTGAATTTGCAGGGGAGGTTAGTGCAATTAAAACACGGGCTCCCTGACAGAGAAGCCCACATGGCAGTGATTTACAGTCTCCATGGCAACACACAACACAAATTGCTTAAATATGTTATGAAACCTCAAGAAAAAGCTGCAGCAGGATCTGTGTGGGAACCGCCAGATCCATCCTCTGCTGCAGCTCTCCAACACCAACAACTTTAGGGATCCTGCATCCACTATAGCAATAGGCTGAGGTTTAGATTCAGCCCATACTTCAGTGTATGCATGTATGCTGACCAATTCCACCAGCCTGTGGCCAAGGGAATTTTTCTATCATTGGCTTGGTTTGGCCCATGGATAGCTCTTCACATACACCCTGCCAGAGCTCTGTGTACCTGAGGACACCAACCTCACTTGAGGCTGAGGAAGACTATTAGCCACCAAGGCTGCCAACTACTCCTACGGTTGCAATTAATAACTCTTCCTCTAGCCACAGCTCACTCAGTTATGCCCTTTTACCTGCCCACTTTGCAAGCATTAGCAGCAACATGCAATGCCTCAAGGGCTGAAACACTACAAGATCTGAACACTTCCCTCTCTGTTCCTCCTGCAGACTGCTGGCTGCAGCCACACAACCACCACAACACACCCAGAGACGCTTGCCAGGTACAAAAGTAGTTCAGCCTTACGTGTTGTAGGCAATCCCTTGGGCTGGGAGCTACTGAAAACCCTTGAAACACAGGACATGCCCTTTTAGGAGGTAGCTGCTTCCCCTGAGTCATACTGATCAGGACTGAATGAACTCCAGGAATTTCTCCCTCAAGTAGGCATAACTGTGCCCCAAACTTTTGAGAGCCAAAGGACTCATAGAAGTATGAACAACCACCACCAATTATTAAAGAAAGATGATTAACTCTTAGGCAGGTTTCCTCCAGTCTAGCAGATTTCCTGCCTGGTCAATGCCTCAAAAAGAACACACCAAGCAAAAGCTGGTCTTCAGTGGGAAGTCAGCATGGAAGACATCTGTCATGCTGGAAACCAGACCCTAATGCCCTTTGTAGTTATGGCATTAAGTTGTTAAAAACACAAGTGAAATTTCAACTCTCTGAGGTTTTCTAATAAGGTGGATCCTCTCAGGTGAGAGTGCTTTCAACTTCCATCAGCCTCCAGGAGATCTGATGGAGCCCAGCACCTGGCAAGACCTGCACAGGAAATTACAGGCATTTCCTTTTGGAGCAATGATCAAAGCACTATCAGAGTGCTACTAAAGAGGACAAAAAATTAAGGCCAAAATCCAACCGTTGTTTAAAAAGAAAATCCTCAACCCAGCAATAAAGAGCTGCAACTGGTTGGGTTTTGAATTTGGGGGATGTAGCTGTGCCTCCTGGAAGTAGCCTGTGAATTCTCCTCCAGTGCAAAAAGATG